AGCAAAAGGATAACTTTGTTCAGTGCTGGCATTAAATAAGAGATAGGACATAGTGACTCACAAGGAAGTAGTCAACACATTCATTATACATTTTATCTGAAGGCTAATACCTGAAAGACTCAGCTGAGATATTCAGGATATTAGTGATAGGATATTAGTCCTGGGTGATTAAAGGAAGAAAAGAGTACTTCACAAGTTTAAAAGCATGAACACATTAAAAATAAAACCATTGGTAAAACAATTTAATGGACATTCGAGTTACATGGTTATATATTGTCCTAACAAATATCGCAAGTAAGTAGTCGAGTGGTTACATGTTTGCAAAAACATCAATTGCAACAAAATGTAAGCTCAAATGAATTCATTTATAATTATTTTTTGTTGACTGACTGCATGATAATATCACAATGTCACTCACAGGACATCAGTAATGAGCAATATGTCAGTAATGTTGTTTCTCAGTCAACCATAGCCATTTCATTGCTGTAATAGCTGAACAGAGCACTCCTTTCAAACTCTCCTGATAAAGGTTTGTTCAGCTGACCTGTTTTCAGTTTGGGTTTTTAGTTCCAGTGTTGAACTTTGACAATAACATTTTCATCTTGTGAACCTTTTAATTACTGTACCAGCTGCAACAAGTCCTAAGTAGGCCTGTAACTTCAAACACTGCTCATATACTCAGATGTTCTCCAATCCACGTCCAATAAACAAGAGTGGTATAAAATATCATAAATGAATTTGGGTCAATTCGTATAATCCAAAAGTTTTTGAACACTCTCAACAACATGACATAAAAGAAAAATGGAACTGAAGAGGAAACACTATTAAGAAAAAAGTACTGGGCCACCTAAATATTATACCTACATACCAACTGCTGTTAATTTCACAAGATTACTTTATGTGATCTGCTACTTTGTGGCTGAGTTACTGTAGTTGCTTCCACTTTACCATTTATAATACCACTTATAACTGATTGTGGGATATCTAGGAGGGCATACATTTTACATAAACTAAACTGTTGATGTCTTTAGAACAACCCTATTCCTTAACCCTAGACTACTTTTCAACAATGTTTGTGAAGACTGCTTGATGCTTGAAGTGCTTAATTCCATACACGCATGGCAACATAATGAAAACCACCTAAATTCAAAGATTAAATGATATGACACCAATGCTTTTAATATTATAGTGTATATTACACCCATAAATCCAAGTAATATAATGTGCATTAACTGTAAATTACTTTTGGCCGTTTATTTATTATTTAATACAAAATAATTCTAGCAGGACTTTCCAACTCATATGGGTCAAATTATATTTAACTAGGAAACAGCTGTAGTAGTAAAAGTATGAACTAAATCAAACGCTGATACACATAGATTTACAAAGTATCATTTAGTTAAAAGAATGGTTCGCTGAATTAAATGGCAGAGCTGTATCAATTTAGAAACCAAAACCAGTTCAAATTTCTGTAGTATCTTATCACAGTTAAATCATGGCACCCAGATGGGGGTGGGATGCCAGGTTAAGGCATGTTTTTATAATGATAGCTGGTTCTGAGGTCTGGCTCTGTGTGTGTTTGGCTGCAAACTGGATACTTCTGAAGCACTGGTGGAGAAGAGGTCACCGCAGATTATTTTGTAGACCCTCTGCAGTTCCTGCTGAATGGGGAGTGAAGCCCGTTCTCTCACAGACTGACCGACTGATTCAGCTTTGCTTTACATTCATCAGGTTTTGTATCAATTCAGTTCATCCGACAGTAAAACCATCTATATGAATGTGTTCTATTCTAGTGTTCTGAGGCAAATTTGACCTTCACAAGTATTTGCTCCCTAAAATCCTAAAGGTTTATCGATTTTCTGTAAATATAAACCAAATTAAATGGTTGCTGTTTTGACACACTAGTGTAGATTCAGTTGAAAACACAAAAAATACAGGACATTAACCACATTTGAGATGTTTTAGAAAAAGAACATTTTTAGAACACCTTTCTTAGAACTCTTTTGATCTTACAGCGTGCATGGTATTTTACCGATGGACCAAAATCTACAGATTTCAGTTTTCTTCCCTTCAGTTAGACAAGTTAAGCCCCTTTTTTTTGGCCCATGGTTTGCTCATTGCCCTGGGTAGCAAGTGAAGCACTCGCAATAATATTTTAGTAAACATTTGAGCATTTGCTAGCTGTAAGCCAGAGTGGCGACGTGACTCGAGCTGACACTCATCAAACAGGAAACAGTCATCAGTGATTGGAGTCTTAGATAAGACCTTTACATGTCCTGTATGTTTTAGTTTATCAAGACTCACTCGGTGGATGGAGCCTTTATGATAGATTTCAACTGAAAGAAAAAAATTCTTTATGCTAAGATGCAACCGAGCATAAACAATGCAGAGAATGCTCTAACTCTATCAGATAGAGCCTTTACATTGCTGTCATACTTGTACAGGGCAACACCTCCCAATTCTGTTAATAAAAGGTACTTTCGAGTGACCTGATTCAGTTTGGATCTGCAAAGGCACATTTAAAACCGCTGAGGACGATCAGCAGTTTCACCCGGTAAGTACATTCACAAAGAGTAAAGGCAATGAATATAAAAACCTATAACTGCATCTGTTCTCGGTTTTGTAGGTCATGGTAGACTCAAGTCCTTAATAAAATCTGTAATTGTGCTACAAAAAGAGTGTGGTCTTAAATAGATTAGTCACAACTGTGTATATTAATTAAGTGTATGACAGCAATGCAGGTAAGTTAAAGTACCGCATTTTGTATATATTCATATTATACTTTGGGGTGAATGTTCTACAACATGATACGAGCAATACCAGACATGTCAGTTTTTAAATCCTACGTACAAAGAAGCTGACTTTAATTCTCCAAGCTGAATTTACATATAAGGTTCACCAGTATAAATAAATAATTTAGACTTACTTTATTTATTTTCATAATTCAACTTTAGTTGGAAGCCTTTTGATACCAAACTGTTCTGATGATTGTTTGCATTTTCTAAACATCCATTTTTTTTATACAACTGCCAGTTCTGCCTTATAATATTATTGCACTCACTGACAGACCTTTACCACACCACTATATTGCACTATACTACATATACAACACATTCTCAGGTCTTGTCAAAACTTTTTGACTTCTCATAACCATAGGGAAAACAATGTAATGACACTGCAATTATTAAATAAAACATATATTTTGTACTCCAGTACCCGAGCCATTATTATCAAATCTGATAAGGAGAATATTTGTAGCCATGCTATCCACAGGCTGATCCTATAGTGGCAATGATATTGCACTTATTCTACCTGCTCCTGTGGCATCATATCCACCACACAATAGAGCCCACTGGAGTTTTAAGGTTTCTTCTAAAGGTCCATGTATTCAGATTCTTTTCGTCTGATGGTTTATTATTAGATGACAACTTTCTCTTCCTTTTTCTTTCATCCAACAGACACCAACCAATTTCTCATATTTCTATCACAGTGGCACTATGGCATCACAACCTCTTTCATCACGCGGTGAGTCTGGCGAGATTTATCAGAACATAACACAGATAGCAAGACAGAAAGAATGCAAGTATCTGAGCATGACGAGGACAGCTAAAATCCAGGTTAAGCCCAGTGCTAGGCAAAAGTCACAAGAAAATAAGGATGTGTTAGGGAGGATAAAGGTGACAAAGAAAATTATTAACAAAACCAGAAGCCACGTTTACTCCCGTTAACACACTTAGAATGACAGTTAGAAACACTAGTTATGTTGGCAGTAGGGACAGTTATGACTTTACCCAAACCCAGGGCTGGACTGGTAATCTTGCATACGCATAAGTTTCGTCAGGAAGAAGTGGCGGAGAGGTGGAGCTGGAAAACAAAATGAAAACAATAAAAAGAAACTAAAAATTGGTGCAGCTAATTGTAGTACTAGCAAGAACTAGTAACAAAGCTTTATGGAGAAGTGAGGAAGAAATCAAGAAATGTGAAATTCACAGGGTAAGACAACGATGAAGGGACATAATGGGATTAAAAAATGCTAGGACCAATTTTCTGACCCAGTCCAACCCTGACCAAAACACATGAACATCCGAATCTAGAAACAATAAACTTTAAAGCTGTTTGACACTTATCCCGAACATGTTACACGTTTCTAATTTACAAACTAAAGGACAATTACTACAGCTATAAAAAGCATTGACTCTCCCCAAATTTCTTAAATGTGCCCCCTTGTGCATTAGTGAGACATACAAGCAGCTTTAGCACATTATCATTTGATGCACCAAAAATGTAAAAAGGCTGGTGTTCACACCTTCACAGTGGGGGGAGAAGGATAAGAGAGTTTAAAAAGATTATTTGAACACTTCCCCGTAAAGAGTAGATATTTTTTTACAAATAATTAAAAAAAACATTAAAGTTAAAAAAGAATAAAAGAAATAAAAGATATAAATATGTATGTATGTGCTGGAACACATGTAATAATTTTTTTGTTGATTTACAGCATATGAACTTCGGATTCTGGTTTTTGGAAAGACTCAAAGTAAAAAATCAATTCTAACCAACTTCATCACTGGGAAAAAAGATCTGACTGGGGATCTTCTGCAAAAGGTGTCCCCATCCACTACAGTCACTCAAGGACAGTATAGGAAAACACGCCTAACAATAGTGAAAACTTCAGATGTCTTCAGTTTAGCTGGAGAGAAGGTGAAGCATGAAATGAAGAAGTGTGTGGCTCTTTGCCCCCCTGGACCAAATGTTCTCCTCCTGTTGATAAAGCCTTCTGAATTCAGTGAAGAAGACAGACAAAAACTAAAGCTCATCCTAAGATTCTTTGGTCAAGATGCTTTTAAATATGCAATGGTCATTTTGACACATAGTGAGGAGAAAAAAACTTCAGCTGTGGATCGACTCATACAGGACTGTAGACAAAGGCAGCAGAGAATCATCTTTGACAAAAAAGATCTGCCAGAAAAGGATCTTCAAGAACTCATGGAAAAGATGGAGAGCATAGTGAATGAAAACAGAGGAGGCTATCTAAACAGAGGTGAAGAAGCTGACACCACAACAGTCACTTTTAAACCGCCTCTTAACCTGGTATTGTGTGGGACATATGAAGTTCTGAAGAGTTCAGCAGCCAATGCCATTGTAGGAAAACACCAGTTTGGTAAACCTGCTGCCTCCTCAAAATGTGTTAAGAAGGAGACACAGGTGTGTGGACGTTTAGTGTCCCTGGTAGAGATGCCTGCTTTGTATGGAAAATCTCCTGAGGCAATAAAGAGCTGCAAAAAACAATGTGTTTCTCTCTGGAATCCCGAAGGTGTCCATGCCTTTATCCTGGTCCTTCCTGTGGGACCCCTCAGTGACGAAAACAAGCGAGAGTTAGAGATCATCCAGAATGAATTTGGATCTCAGGTCATCGACTTCACCATGATTCTTTTTGCAGTGGAATCAGATCCCACAGATCCAGTTGTTGTCAACTTTGTTAGTGAAAACAGAAACATCCAGGAGCTCTGTCAGAAGTGTGGAGGACGAAACATCATCTTCAACATCAAAGACAAGCAGCAGGTCTCTGAGGTGTTGCACACTGTGGAGAAGATGACAGCTATGGGATCTAAGTGCTTCACAAGACAAATGCTTGTTAAGCCTCGATTGATTAAACTCAAAGGAAACCCTTCACAGAAGACAGAATCCTTTGATAATCCCAACCACAGCCCAGATGCTCTCCGGATAGTGATGATTGGGAAGACTGGCTGTGGGAAGAGTGCAACTGGAAACACCATTTTAGGCCAAAAATGCTTTTATTCTAAAACCTGCATGAAGTCAGTGACAGAGGTTTGCAAAAAAGCAAAAGGAGTGGTCGACGGCCATCCAGTTGCTGTGGTCGACACACCAGGCTTGTACGACACGACTCTGTCCAACCATGAAGTCAAACAGGAGCTTGTGAAATGCATCAGCTTGTTGTCTCCAGGACCTCACGCGTTCTTACTGGTAGTGCAGATTGGTCGATTTACCAAAGAAGAAAAAGACACAGTAGAGCTCATCAAGGAGTTTTTTGGCAAGAAATCAGAAGACTTCATTATTGTTATATTCACCAGAGGAGATGATCTTCAAGATCAAACAATAGAGAGTTACATGGAAGAAGTCAGCGATGACTTTGTTAAAAAACTCATTGACGACTGTGGAGGAAGATACCATGTTTTCAACAACAGAGATCAAAATAATCATTCACAAGTCGCAGAGCTTTTAGACAAAGTACAAACAATGGTGAAGAAAAATGGTGGCAGCTGCTACACTACAGAGATGTTCCAAGAAGCTGAGGCAGCCATACAAAAGGAAATGAAGAGGATCCTAAAAGAGAAAGAAGCAGATATGGAGAAAGAGATGGAAGAACTTCAAAGGAAACGCGATGAAGAAATTCAGGCGAAAAAGAAACAAATTGATCAAGAAAGAGCAGAAAAAGAAGAAGTACTGAAGGAGAAGGAAGAACTGATTAACCAGGAACAAGAGAAGACAAAGAGAGAGGAGGAAAAGAGAGAACAGGAGACCATAGCATCAATAAGATATGAAGAAAAACTCCGAATGCAGTGGGAAGAAAAACTTGAAGCTCTTGAGCAGAAAATAAAATCAGAATGTGAAAAAAATGTACATGCTGACAGAAAGCTGATGGAAAACCGAGAAGAGATGAAATTAGAACGCGAAGCTTGGGAAAAAGAACGCAAAGAATGGTGGGAGAAACGAAATCAAGAAGACAAACAGAGGAAAGAGGAGGAACAAGCGCTGCTTATAAAGCTCAAAGAAGAATATGATGAGGAAAGAAATGAATATGAAAGCAAAATAAAAGAACAAGATAGACTCAGGAGAGAACAAGAGGAGAGAGACTGGAAATTAGCGCAGGATATCTATGAGGCAAAAGTCAAGGAAATGAAGAAGAAAATTGCAGAAGAAGCCAGAAAGCAAGCAGAAGAATTCAATGAGTTCAGACAGAAATATTCAGTAGATTTTGCAGCGTTGAGAGCAAAGCATGACAGTGAGATGGAAGACATGAAGCAAAAACAACAAAAAAGCAACGCCATCATACTTAAACATCTGCTCATGAAGAGAGAATACAAGAGAGACTTTGACAGACTGAAGAAAAAACAGGAACAAGAAATGGATGAGCTGAATTACAATCTTTCTATAGGAAATGAGGGCGAGCCAATTGAAGAAGATATCAACCAACTACAGCTAGAACATGATAAACAAATCAATGACTGGATAGAAGAATATGTACAGAAAGCTGACGGAGATAAGTCTTGCAGCATTTTATGAAACGGGCTCTTTTACCTGAATGTCAGTTTGATTTAACTTTGATAGCTTTTGGTTTTAAAGCTTTTAATAAACAAATACTTTTGTTATAGCTGCATGATAGATGACACTTATGTAGTTCCATATAACATAATATACTCAAATTATTACAAATTGATTCATTTGTTCTAAAATCACTGTCAATCTTTTTTTTTCCTTTTTCTTTTATTTACTGCAGAAAATGTTGCCTGCTAAGTAAAAACATGAATGAATGTAAACTAATCATATAAATCATTTAGGTAAAGATCTCATTTAATTTGCATCATATGATTTTTACTGCAGGAAGTAATGCATATTTTTCCATTTAAAAACAATGACTGGTGTCAATAATCTCACGAAAAGCACAAAATGTCTTTGGCTCAGATGTGTTTGTTATTTACAGAAAACACTTTATTGCACTATATAACCATTTTTTGGCACAGCTTGTCTCTTTTTTCAGAATGATAAAAATGTTTCGGTTCCTGATTGTTTTTTGTTTTTATAAAATACTTATTCCATCTGATAAGTAGTCTGTGTAGAGATATATTAAAATGTAAGCTTCATATTTTGGACAAAAACCAGTTGATGTTCTTATCGTTAATTTTGATGATCACTTTATCACCAAAAATAATTCTGATTCAATACGGGACAATGAATAAGTACTACTGTTGGGAAATATCACAGTAAACTTTAAATAAAAGCAAACATTAGCTGAAGACTCTTTAAGGATATTGATTGATTTATTGATAGATTAAAACTGTTTTAATCTAACTTTAAAGTGAAGGAAATGTAACAAAGTACAGGCAACCTAAGCATGGAACCACACTTCATAGTGAAATACAAACCATATTTGTTGAAAAGCTTGATTTAAATTGTTTCTTCAATTTTGAATCTTTGAAATAAGGGAATATGTCCTGCCTTTATTCAAAAGGTCCTTTCATATTTAAACCCAGTTTCAGAAAATTTATTTCACAGAGTTTATAGGGTAGACGTCATCTTTTAGACCTTAACAAATAATCTACACACCTGACAGTTACGCCACATTCTTTAAACGTACATGTACATAGGAAGAACAGTGACAGTTCTCAATTATAATAATGTGAGTGTTTGAGGTGGAAACACCACTGTTGGAATAACACAGCTTGTACTAATGCTGTGAGCTCTTTAGGACAAGAAATTATTTTAAAAAACTTGTAAAGGTAGACTCCATGGTTTGCTGCTTGATTTCATATGCCTGTGGCAATCATGCAGAAAAAAATAACCGAATTCAAAAATTAAGAACTGTAGTCCATTGATTTTGTCCCTAAAGCATACAGGTTTTGATTCTGTGGTTATGACTCAGCAGTTTTTACTCATTCACACAAACTGCTTTTTCTATGTAAGTCTATCAACTGCATCTTAATTTAAACCCACTGTCAGTTTTTTGATAATGGACCAAAATCCACACATTTCTGTTTTTTCAACTAGTTAAGGCAATGTGCCCTTTGCCACCATTTGCTCCTTGCCCTGCATAGCAAGTGATATCCTTGCCATCACATCGTGTGAACATTTTCTACATGTAGATCAGGATGATTAGCTCAACTTGATATTTATCACTGACAATGATTAGATCTTTGGGTGTCCTGTACGTGCCTGGTTAATCCAAGTGGAAAAACAGCCCAATAATAACAAAACAACTAATGCGGATTCTCGCTTAGATTAGACATAAAACCACCTGAGACTTGTATGACCTTTTTCTGTTGTTGAAGGTTCAGACAATGCATGGAGGTTGCACAGATGCAACAGAGCATAAAGAATCCAGGGAATGCTCAGTGTTTGGTCATTTATCAGTAACTGTATCAGACATCACCTTTACTCTGTTGTCATACTTGTACAAGGCAACACCTTGATATTCTGATAATGAAAGGTGGTTACAAGTAACCTGATTCAGTTTGGAACTGCCAAGGGACATTTAACAGCACTGAGTAAAATGTCAGAGTGTCACCTGGTGAGTGCAATCACTGAAAATAAATAGTCTGAAGTGATTAAGAAAGTCTATAATTGTTGGAAACAGACTAGAGTCCTACACTGGTTAGTTTTAACTGTTAATACTGACTAGGTGTATGAAATATATACAGGTCTGGTAATTAAATACAGATCACATTGTGTAGTTAAAGTACTGCATTTAATATGTCTTCATATTATATGTGTGGGAAATGTTTTACAAAATAGTACAAGCAAGAGCTACATAGATATTAGTCTGAAACATGTAGAGTTACATAAAGAAATACAGACCTGATTAATGCAAGTTACATTCAAATATCAGGCTAAAATAGTTAAGGCTAATCCATAACAAACATCAAATGGGCATCATTTAATATAATTTTAACTTTACTTGAATTGCCATTTTATGGAGGTATCTGACACTTGCTGCATTTGAAGGAGAAGTTAGTGAAAGGCTGTATACCCATATATTGTACTCTAGTACTGTACACAGTATTAGAAAATATATCGAGACTCATCTGTAATCTGATGTAATCTAAACTGAGGATTCTCTTCCAATTTACACACAGTACAGAAACTTCAGCAGGGGTTTGAGTGGTCACTTGAGAAACCATCATGCCAAAAAAAAGAAATCAATTTAGACTTGAAGCAAAAAAAAATTCATGCAGTCTGTATAGGATCTCAGTCATTAAGGTCATGGTAGTCAAAAGAGTGTAAAGTTATTGTCTTTTTTAAAGGGACAGCACTTAGCCACTGGTATAGATATGTGGATGGCACCTGGGTCAAAATCAAAACCCAAGGAGGAGTAGCCTTCATGGTTCAAATCAACTCGTTGGAAAGAATAATATTTTGCCATTTCTAGACTGTGCATAGCACATCGAGGAGAATAGAAACTGGTGAAAAAAGTCAGAATTTTGACTTTTTTCTCAGAAGCAGAGGGACACCTAGTATACTCCTCCATCTTTGTTTCATCACAACATTCTGTAGTGGGATACTGGACTTTCTACCAAACAGACCCCAGACTGTAAGGATGCACAACCAAACATCCTTCACCTTGTCTCTGAGCATAGGTGTTATTCAAGGTTATGTGCCGAGACACGTTTTATACATTATTTACATGACTGTATGCTAATTGTAGTACTAGCAAGAACTAGTAACAAAGCTTTGTGGAGAAGTGAGGAAGAAATCAAGAAATGTGAAATTCACAGGGTAAGACAACGATGAAGGGACATAATGGGATTAAAAAATGCTAGGACCAATTTTCTGACCCAGTCCAACCCTGACCAAAACACATATGCATTTTATGTATTATGAACATCCGAATCTAGAAACTTTGAAGCTGTTTGACACTTATCCCGAACATGTTACACGTTTCTAATTTACAAACTAAAGGACAATTACTACAGCTATAAAAAGCATTGACTCTCCCCAAATTTCTTAAATGTGCCCCCTTGTGCATTAGTGAGACATACAAGCAGCTTTAGCACATTATCATTTGATGCACCAAAATTTTAAAAAGGCTGGTGTTCACACCTTCACAGTGGGGGGAGAAGGATAAGAGAGTTTAAAAAGATTATTTGAACACTTCCCCGTAAAGAGTAGATATTTTTTTACAAATAATTAAAAAAAACATTAAAGTTAAAAAAGAATAAAAGAAATAAAAGATATAAATATGTATGTATGTGCTGGAACACATGTAATAATTTTTTTGTTGATTTACAGCATATGAACTTCGGATTCTGGTTTTTGGAAAGACTCAAAGTAAAAAATCAATTCTAACCAACTTCATCACTGGGAAAAAAGATCTGACTGGGGATCTTCTGCAAAAGGTGTCCCCATCCACTACAGTCACTCAAGGACAGTATAGGAAAACACGCCTAACAATAGTGAAAACTTCAGATGTCTTCAGTTTAGCTGGAGAGAAGGTGAAGCATGAAATGAAGAAGTGTGTGGCTCTTTGCCCCCCTGGACCAAATGTTCTCCTCGTGTTGATAAAGCCTTCTGAATTCAGTGAAGAAGACAGACAAAAACTAAAGCTCATCCTAAGATTCTTTTGTCAAGATGCTTTTAAATATGCACTGGTCATTTTGACACATAGTGAGGAGAAAAAAACTTCAGCTGTGGATCGACTCATACAGGACTGTAGACAAAGGCAGCAGAGAATCAACTTTGACAAAAAAGATCTGCCAGAAAAGGATCTTCAAGAACTCATGGAAAAGATGGAGAGCATAGTGAATGAAAACAGAGGAGGCTATCTAAACAGAGGTGAAGAAGCTGACACCACAACTTTTAAACCGCCTCTTAACCTGGTATTGTGTGGGACATATGAAGTTCTGAAGAGTTCAGCAGCCAATGCCATTGTAGGAAAACACCAGTTTGGTAAACCTGCTGCCTTCTCAAAATGTGTTAAGAAGGAGACACAGGTGTGTGGACGTTTAGTGTCCCTGGTAGAGATGCCTGCTTTGTATGGAAAATCTCCTGAGGCAATAAAGAGCTGCAAAAAACAATGTGTTTCTCTCTGGAATCCCGAAGGTGTCCATGCCTTTATCCTGGTCCTTCCTGTGGGACCCCTCAGTGACGAAAACAAGCGAGAGTTAGAGATCATCCAGAATGAATTTGGATCTCAGGTCATCGACTTCACCATGATTCTTTTTGCAGTGGAAACAGATCCCACAGATCCAGTTGTTGTCAACTTTGTTAGTGAAAACAGAAACATCCAGGAGCTCTGTCAGAAGTGCGGAGGACGAAACATCATCTTCAACATCAAAGACAAGCAGCAGGTCTCTGAGGTGTTGCACACTGTGGAGAAGATGACAGCTATGGGATCTAAGTGCTTCACAAGACAAATGCTTGTTAAGCCTTGATTGATTAAACTCAAAGAGATGATAGTGGACTACAGGAGGTCTAACAAAGACAACTCTATCTTTATCAAAGGTTCTGATGTTGAGGAGGTAACACGTTTTAAGTTTCTTCATAAATTGTTGAAGACCTGACGTGGTCTTTATTTAATTCCTGTTAGATAAAGGCCCAGCAATCCCTCCACTTATTGAGCAGGTTAAAAAGGCCAGCTGTCTCTCTTGTCAATTTACTGTATTATACAAAGCATTATAACATCTTGGATATCAGACTCTATCCAGTGAAAACAGTTGTGACAGACATCTACATAAAATGCTGTATCCAGCATGCACATAACAACACCCATGACCTCACTCACCCTAGCAAAAGACAGTTTGAACCCCTGCCAATTTGGAAATGGTACTAGTGTCTCAGGGCTTGCACTACAAGTAACAGTTTTTTTTTTCACTCAGGATTGCAAATCTCTTAGACTGTGTTTCTGACCATATGTTCCTAAGCATTTTATTGATGTTTTGTATTAATGTTCAATAATGTTATTAAATGGACAGTCATGCACTGTATAACACACAATCACTGAAACGGGAACTGCCACATACTGACAGTTTATCAGCAGTAATAGACTGCTTATAATTCACTAATCTGCTACCATTTTACAGCACACCCTGGACATCTTGCCCTACCAATGCAGGGATGAAACAGAGACTGATAACCATTCATGCTCCACGTTCACAGCTATGGGCAGTCACCAGTTAACCTAAATCCATCCATACCTTTGGGCTGTGGGA